CTTCATTTTGAACATCTTCTCTCACCAAGTACACTATATACTCTAGATGTCACTTCATTGACAACATAATATAACGGGAGCAGGTGCTGGGAGACCTACTCCCTAAGCCAGGCCCGGGGCCCAGGCATGACTTGTGAGTTTGGTCCAACAGGCTGTTGCTTGGAGCGGCCCGCAGGCCCACATATCTACTACAATCCAGTTGGTCCAATACTTCTTGCAGTAACTTGCTTAATTTTTTCTTGAAGTGCACCTTTGTTCCGGCAGTATTTATCATGCTCTCTGGCAGAGTATTTAACAGAGGTGGCCTCTGATGTTCTGTGTTCTCACATTGTGCTTATGACGCCTCTCTACTCTTGACTGGCTCTTATGTAATTCTTCCTCTATCATTCACTCCAGTATGTTGTTATTTTACTGTACAAATTTGGGACCTGGCCCTCCAGTATCTTCCATGTATATATTTGACACCTCTCTCGTCCCCCTTTCTAGAGAGTACATCTTGAGAGCTTTGAGAGACTCAATAATTTAGATGCTTTATCGTGCCGTATATGTTCTCTGTACTCACTATTTCAGCAATCTCTCCTGCTCTAAAGGGGCAAGTGAGTACTGAGCAGTAATCAAGGCAGGACAGCACAAGTAACTTGAATAGTATGAGCATTGTGATGGGATTTCTGGATTTGAAAGTTCTCGTAATCCATCCTATAATGATTTTTAAGCTGACGCAATATTAGTTTAGTTATGCTCCCTAGACGTTAGGTCGTCAGGTATCATTATTCCCTGATCCTATACATGCTACTTTCCTACTATGATTAGATCTGATAGTGTCTTCTACCCTCTGTTTTTTTCTAAGTTCTTCACTTTTACCTTAGCACCAAGAATTTATTACTGTTAAACATAACGTTATTTTCCGCAGGCCAATCGAAGACTATTAATACAGGCTCGTAGTTTTTCCAGTGTCTTCAACACAAGGAGACTTCATGCTGATATTTGTATCGTGTACAAAGGATTCACGCTGCACCGAGTGTGTTTCTAATTTAACGCAACGCGAAGTGTAACCTAATCCACCAATTATGTTAAATAGGTCAAGCGTCACACCCAGGTAATGTACGATAACAGCTCTCAACTATTTATTTTGACAAGAAGAAAGAGAGAAAGAGAGAGAGAGAGAGAGAGAGAGAGAGAGAGAGAGAGAGAGAGAGAGAGAGAGAGAGAGAGAGAGAGAGAGAGAGAGAGAGAGACAGAGACAGACAGAGACAGAGAGAAAGAGAGAGAGAGAGAGACAGACAGAGACAGACAGACCAGCTCAAGTGGTTGGATACACCAGAAGATTGACAAGAGTAGAGAGGCAGCAATAAAAGAATACGCCATCAAGAATCAGCTGTATGAAACATGGGAGAGTATGTGGGGGGACGTGGGAGAGCGTGGAGGGGGGGAGCGTGGGGAGCCTGGAGGGGGGAGCGTGGGGAGCCTGGAGGGGGGGACGTGGGAGAGCGTGGAGGGGGGGAGCGTGGGGAGTATGGGGGGCGTGGGGAGAGCGTGGAGGGGGCGTGGAGCAGTAAAGTAAGGCGCGAGACTCAGCAACAACACACACACACAAGACACCCATCTTCTGTGCCTCACATAATCACGGGGGGAACTACAGAAGATCCACTCGCACGATGTTAACGATAAGGGAAGACTGCGAGCACGATAGAGATAAAGAAGATGATAGAGGCTTCAGAAGGTAAGGATGAAGACAAGCCTGCAGGGACGTGAGGTGGTGACCAAACTACCCACAGGAGCACTTGGCCAGGCCGCTGCTGTGCCGTGCTCCTCAGGACACAGTGCCGTGCTCCTCAGGACACAGTGCCGTGCTCCTCAGGACACAGTGCCGTGCTCCTCAGGACACAGTGCCGTGCTCCTCAGGACACAGTGCCGTGCTCCTCACGACACAGTGCCGTGCTCCTCAGGACACAGTGCCGTGCTCCTCAGGACACAGTGCCGTGCTCCTCAGGACACAATGCCGTGCTCCTCACGACACAGTGCCGTGCTCCTCAGGACACAGTGCCGTGCTCCTCACGACACAGTGCCGTGCTCCTCACGACACAGTGCCGTGCTCCTCAGGACACAGTGGCAGGTGTCCCTGGGCGCGTCCTGGACACCCAGCAGCGTCTGGGGTGGTAATGGATGGCGGACGGCACTGACCTGCCTGCCAGAGCCCACGTCATATCAGTCAGTATTTTCCACTGAGCCTGAGGGCTCCCGTCGCCTGCTGCTGACGTCAGCTCTCACGCTGACAGCCATCCCCGGAGTTACCTGCTCTCCAGCTTTACTGTAATTCCCATCTCCGTTCTTATTGTTATTTAAAACTAAACATTGAAGAGTAATTATGGAGGTGGATGTCACGCGACACAAGCCAGTGTGTCCCAGGGGGGAACCTCGCGACACAAGCCAGTGTGTCCCAGGGGGAACCTCGCGACACAAGCCAGTGTGTCCCAGGGGGAACCTCGCGACACAAGCCAGTGTCCCCCAGGGGGAACCTCGCGACACAAGCCAGTGTGTCCCAGGGGGAACCTCGCGACACAAGCCAGTGTGTCCCAGGGGGAACCTCGCGACACAAGCCAGTGTGTCCCAGGGGGAACCTCGCGACACAAGCCAGTGTGTCCCAGGGGAACCTCGCGACACAAGCCAGTGTGTCCCAGGGGGAACCTCGCGACACAAGCCAGTGTGTCCCAGGGGGAACCTCGCGACACAAGCCAGTGTGTCCCAGGGGGAACCTCGCGACACAAGCCAGTGTGTCCCAGGGGGAACCTCGCGACACAAGCCAGTGTGTCCCAGGGGGAACCTCGCGACACAAGCCAGTGTGTCCCAGGGGGAACCTGGCGACACAAGCCAGTGTGTCCCAGGGGGAACCTCGCGACACAAGCCAGTGTGTCCCAGGGGGAACCTGGCGACACAAGCCAGTGTGTCCCAGGGGGAACCTCGCGACACAAGCCAGTGTGTCCCAGGGGGAACCTCGCGACACAAGCCAGTGTGTCCCAGGGGGAACCTGGCGACACAAGCCAGTGTGTCCCAGGGGGAACCTGGCGACACAAGCCAGTGTGTCCCAGGGGGAACCTCGCGACACAAGCCAGTGTGTCCCAGGGGGAACCTGGCGACACAAGCCAGTGTGTCCCAGGGGGAACCTCGCGACACAAGCCAGTGTGTCCCAGGGGGAACCTGGCGACACAAGCCAGTGTGTCCCAGGGGGAACCTCGCGACACAAGCCAGTGTGTCCCAGGGGGAACCTCGCGACACAAGCCAGTGTGTCCCAGGGGGAACCTGGCGACACAAGCCAGTGTGTCCCAGGGGGAACCTGGCGACACAAGCCAGTGTGTCCCAGGGGGAACCTCGCGACACAAGCCAGTGTGTCCCAGGGGGAACCTCGCGACACAAGCCAGTGTGTCCCAGGGGGAACCTCGCGACACAAGCCAGTGTGTCCCAGGGGGAACCTCGCGACACAAGCCAGTGTGTCCCAGGGGGAACCTGGCGACACAAGCCAGTGTGTCCCAGGGGGAACCTCGCGACACAAGCCAGTGTGTCCCAGGGGGAACCTGGCGACACAAGCCAGTGTGTCCCAGGGGGAACCTGGCGACACAAGCCAGTGTGTCCCAGGGGGAACCTCGCGACACAAGCCAGTGTGTCCCAGGGGGAACCTCGCGACACAAGCCAGTGTGTCCCAGGGGGAACCTCGCGACACAAGCCAGTGTGTCCCAGGGGGAACCTCGCGACACAAGCCAGTGGGAAGTCTCTAGGCCGGCTAATACGAGACACAAGCCAGCTGTCCCAGTACTCAACCTCGCGACACAAGCCTCTCTCCCAGGGGGAACCTTCCGACTCAAGCCAGTCCCTCCCAGGGGGAACCTCGCGACACTCTCCCCCTCTCCCTCTCCCTCTCCTCTCCCACAAGCCAGTCTGTCCCAGGGGGAACCTCGCGACTCTCTCCTCTGTGTCCCCCTCTCCCTGGTGGGGGAGACAATCTAAACTCTGGGAAGGAGGAGCCCTCCCTCCGGCTAATCCCTCCCTCCCTACGCTTCTCCTCTACTCTCCTCTCCTCTCCTCTCTCTCCTCTCTCTCTCTCCCTCTCCCTTCCTCTCTCCCTCTCTGTACTCACCTAATTGTGCTTGCGGGGGTTGAGCTCTGGCTCTTTGGTCCCGCCTCTCAACCGTCAATCAACAGGTGTACAGATTCCTGAGCCTATTGGGCTCTATCATATCTACACTTGAAACTGTGTATGGAGTCAGCCTCCACCACATCACTGCCTAATGCATTCCATTTGTCAACCACTCTGACACAAAAAAAGTTCTTTCTAATATCTCTGTGGCTCATTTGGGCACTCAGTTTCCACCTGTGTCCCCTAGTGCGTGTGCCCCTTTTCTTAAATACTCTGTCTTTATCTACCCTGTCAATTCCTTACAGAATCTTGTATGTGGTGATCATGTACCCCCTAACTCTTTTGCCTTCCAGGGAATTAATGAGGTTTAATTCCCGTAGTCTCTCCTCGTAGCTCATACCTCTCAGCCCGGGTACTAGTCTGGTGGCAAACCTTTGAACCTTTGCTGGGAAGTTTTTGTGTGTGTGTGTGGAGGGGGGGGGGGGTGTGGGGGGTGTGGGTGGGGGTAGTGTTGGGCTGCCACACAGCTGGAGCCTCACAAGGACCACGACGCCACACCAGACACCCAAGTATGAAACACTAGGCCAGTGTCCACCAAAGATTTTCCTGACGATTTACGAAACCTGAACATCCTTTTCAATCCTGGCGGCTTAGTTTGTATTTATTGAACAGCTTATGAACTTGAGATGAGTAAGAGTTTGTCTATAACAATGATAACCTTGGCGGGGTGTTCCAAAGTTCCTAAACGGTTTAATACAGAATAAGCCACTGTGATCTAGGAAAGACAGAGGTTTCGTAACTGGTCACACAACTGCTTCATGAATCGTGGGCCGGGTGTTGAAGTGATGAAAGAGATTATAATGGACTTTACCTTGAGCTCTGCACGCAGGAGGGCCACGTTGCTCTGCTCCATGTTGTAGTCGTGGGAGCTGACCACGGCGCCCTGGGTCTGAGGGGAGGCCGAGGGGAAGGGACGACCCACCTCCCCCGCGCCTGTAGACGACGCCGAACTCTTCTTGTCCTCGCATTCACTGTCGCTCGTCAGGCCAACCAGCGAACCTATAACACAAGGTGAACACACTCAGTCTCTCTCGCTGGCCGCTGGCCTAACTTACCTTAACAATAACACAACCATCACCAGGGCTCACAACATCAACACACTGGGAACCGTTCACGACCTACCTCCAACCACATGCTTTCTAGAAAGGGCGGGTTATTACAACTATCATATGATGTATGTGTGTTAATCATAGTCCCATGTGAAAGTTGGAGTACTTCTTGGTGTTGGGGAGGCGAGCACTCGCCTGGCCACGCCTACGTCGCCAGCAGCAGCAGCAGCAGCACTGGTAGAGTCCTGCTGCAGGTCCTCCACGGTAGAAAGTGGGGGACTACCTCGGGGCAGGTCACCGTCGGCCGCCACCACCACAAGACACGACCCTGGCGATCTCTCACCACAGGTAACGCTCTCACACACGGCGACAAAATCACCTGACACACACACCTGACAACCACACACCTGAGACCTCAACCGTGACACATCTGACAATACACTACCCCAGATCACCAGAGCTGTTGTGTCCCACGGTAGGTGAGAAAACCATCCACCATATAAATACAAATCTTAAAACAAATACAGAACCTACAACAAACTCTGGGGAAGAAAACGCGTCTTGCTGCAGCAGTCCTTGACAACCCACGCCACCCAAAACCCACCCCGCCTACGCCACCCACCCCGCCCACGCCACCCACACTGGTAGATACCACACACTATGTGGGTATACTATGTGGGTATATGTGTGGTAGATACCACACACATCCGTACGTTACATTCGCAACACACACGCTGCTGCTGCTGGCACAACACTCACTCTACACTCACTAACGACCAGCACTCTAACCATGTGCACTAAACTGGCAACAGTCGGTCAAGACGGTAGACGGGTGGGTGTGGGTGACGGAACATGGGGGCAACCGTACACCCACACACACATCACAAATCCTCATAAAAGTGACATAAAAACACGTGCTATAGTTACCTCTGAGTTGCCTGAAGTATACACAGGGGCAGCAGAATGGATGTGAACTGGATAACTTTAGATTCAGGAAAGACCTGGGTAATTACTAGTTTACAAACACGTTGTTGATTTATGAAACACAAATTACCGGGTAACATAATACACAAAGGATCGCTGGATTGAGTCTTGGAACCAACAACACGTAGGTACCCGCCAAACACACGACAAGTTGTAAGAAGGTAACAATAAGGGCTATTATGTTGTGTGTTGGCAGGATAGATATGATAGACAAAGACTGTCATAGGCACAATCAGAGAACACTGTATAAACATCAGAGGTCCGCGGTTGTTCAACGTCCTCCCAGCGAGCATAAGAAATATTGCCGGAACAAAAGTGGACGTCTTCAAGAACCAAATTAGATAAATTCTTGCAATAAGTGCTGGACGAACCGGGCTGTGGTGGGTATGTGTGCCTGCGGGCCGCACCAAGCAACAGCCTAGTGGACCAAACTCTCACAAGTCAAGCCTGGCCTCGGGCCGGGCTTGGGGAGTAGAACTCCCAGAACCCCATCAACCAGGTATATAAGGTTGGATACATATAAACACAAGATGCTTCGTATAGGTTAATATGCCTTCCGCAGCTTCTTTTATTCTTGAGTTTTTATGCAATAAAGGTTGTCCGAGGGGAGAGGGGGATAGGTGACCATACCTGCTTGATGGGGTTCTGGGAGTTCTTCTACTCCCCAAGCCCGGCCCGAGGCCAGGCTTGACTTGTGAGAGTTTGGTCCACTAGGCTGTTGCTTGGTGCGGCCCGCAGGCCTACATACCCACCACAACCCGGTTCGGCCAGCATTTATTGCAAGAATTTATCTAATTTGGTTCTTGAAGACGTCCACTTTTGTTCGGGCAATATTTCTTATGCTCGCTGGGAGGACGTTGAACAACCGTGGACCTCTGATGTTTATACAGTGTTCTCTGATTGTGCCTATGGCACCTCTGCTCTTCACTGGTTCTATTCTGCATTTTCTTCCGCACCTTTCACTCCAGTATTCTACTGTGTAAATTTGGGACCTGGCCTTTAAGTATCTTCCATGTATATATTATTTGATACCTTTCTCGTCTCCTTTCTAGTGAGTACATTTTGAGAACTTTGAGACGATCCCAGACACGCCAAGCCTCCCTCGCCACACACAAGAGGCAGGACAGTGGAGACAGGACAGAGGAGGCAGGACAGTAGAGGCAGGACAGTAGAGGCAGGACAGTAGAGGCAGGACAGAGGAGTACAGTGGAGGCAGGGAGGGAGGGGGTCAGTTAGCATGCCTGGCTGACCACCACATGTGCCGTCATTCAAGTCACATGAGAGTGAAGCAACTTCCAGTTACACCTCCACTCTGGGCTCCCCGCCCCCCCCCCCTCCCCGCACCATCACAACGTCACTGACACCATACGTGTGCTTGGGATATACGTCCCAACTGAACGCTAGTTATCCAATCAGTTTTATAAAGTAAATACGTTATTTCCTGTAACTTGATCAAGATACCAAGATAACGTGTACTGCTCGAGTTAGTGTTTTGCGCTTGGCCTTTGTCAAACTATTGTCCCTTGTTTCAAATAAAACACACACACACAAATGATATAGCAAATAATGCCAAGACCGAACCAAAACTGCTCCACAGTCACATCAGGAGGAAAACAACAGTGAAAGAACAGGTGATGAAACTTAGGATGGGTGGGGACAGGTACACAGAGAATGACAAAGAGGTGTGTGAAGAACTCAACAAGAGGTTCCAGGAGGTCTTCACAATAGAACAAGGAGAGGTCACTGCGCTAGGAGAGGTGGCAGTAAACAAGGCGGCCTTGGAAGGGTTTGAAATTACAAGAGATGAGGTCAAGAGACAACTGCTGGATCTGGACGTGAGAAAGGGTGTTGGTCCAGACGAAATCTCGCCATGGGTACTGAAAGAGTGTGCAGAGGCACTTTGCTTGCCACTCTCCATAGTGTATAGTAGGTCACTGGAGACGGGAGACCTACCAGAAATATGGAAGACGGCTAATGTAGTCCCAATATACAAAAAGGGTGACAGGCAAGAGGCACTGAACTACAGGCCAGTGTCCTTGACTTGTATACCATGTAAGGTGATGGAGAAGATCGTGAGAAAAGACCTAGTAACACATCTGGAGAGAAGGGACTTGGTGACAAATCGACAATATGGGTTCAGAGAGGGTAAATCTTGTCTCACTGGCTTAATAGAATTCTACGATCAGGTGACAAAGATTAAGCAAAAAAGAGAAGGATGGGTGGAATGCATTTTCTTGGACTGTCGGAAAGCCTTTGACACAATACCCCATTAGAGCTTGGTACATAACCTGGAGAAACAGGCAGGAATAACTGGTAAGGTGCTTCAGTTGATAAGAGAGTACCTAAGCAATATGAAGCAGAGAGTTACGGTGAGGGGTGAGACCTCCGATTGGCGTGAAGTCACCAGTGGAGTCCCACAGGGCTCTGTACTCGGTCCTATCCTGTTTCTGATATACGTAAATGATCTCCCGGAGGGTATAGACTCATTCCTCTCAATGTTTGTTGACGATGCCAAAATTATGAGTACGATTAAGACAGAGGAGGACTACTCGAGGCTTCAAGAAGACCTAGACAAACTGAAGGAATGATCGAACAAATGGTTGTTCGAGTTTAACTCAAGCAAATGTAATGTAATGAAGATAGATATAGAGAGCAGGAGGCCAGATGCAAGGTATCATTTGGGAGATGAAATACTTCAAGAGTCAGAGAGAGAGAAAGACTTGGGGGTTGATATCACGCCAGACCTGTCCCCTGAAGTCCTTATCAAGAGAATAACATCAGCGGCATATGCCAGGTTGGCCAACATATAACGGCCTTTAGAAACTTGTGTAAGGAATCATTGAGAACTTTGTATACCACATATGTCAGACCAATCCTGGAGTATGCAGCTCCAGCATGGAGTCCATATCTAGTTAAGCATAAGAATTAACTAGAAAAGATTCAATTGTTTGCCACCAGACTAGTACCCGAGTTGAGGGGTATGTGCTACGAGAATTACGGGAATTAAACTTTACGTCGCTGGAGGAGAGGAGAGTTAGGGGAACATGATCACTACCTACAAGATTCTCAAAGGAGTTGATATGGTAGATAATGACCGGCTATTTAACAAAAGGGACACAAGCACTTGGGGACACAGGTGGAAATTAAGTGCCCCAATGAGCCACAGAGATATTTGAAAGAACTTTTTTAGTGTCAGAGTGGTTGACAAATGTAATGCATTAGGAAGTGATGTGGTGGAGGCTGACTCCATACACAGTTTGAAGTGTAGATATGATAGAGCCCAATAGGCTCCGGAATCTGTACATCTGTTGATTGACAGCTGAGAGGCGGGACCAAAAAGCCAGAGCTCAACCCCAGCAAGCACAACAGGGTGAGTACACACACACACACACACACGTGGCAACAAGAGTGAACACTGAGGTACACATGTTCAGCCACTCTCACGTATCCCCCCATACATGTATCATGTGTATGTATGCCACCCGCCTCCCCCCCACACATCCCTCTCTTACATGAACACATTTACTTGTAAAAGAAATCAATGAAGGTCTTTCAAAGACTTTACATATCAGGTCTAAGAAATTGACGTGGAAGATAAGCCTATCATAAATGTAGGAAATAAAACTTGATATATATGATGATGCGGCAACAAGCCCCACACACACACGGAGGCTGTAACTAGAGGATGACCCGCCCTTAAAGACCTCCCATCATTACTACAACATGTCTGCCAACTACTGAACTTAAGCTAATTACCCACAAATTAACTACTCTTAATGGGTTTCATTTTCAGTTTAAATGATCGTTGGGACATTTTATTTATCCCCTGTTGAGTTACGTTTATTTGGGTGTCAGGAACGTGGCGGTGGTGTCAGGAACGTGGCGGTGGTGTCAGGAACGTGGCGGTGGTGTCAGGAACGTGGCGGTGGTGTCAGGAACGTGGCGGTGGTGTCAGGAACGTGGCGG